TTGGCCTAGAGACGCAAGAATGAGGCTCATGAAGCATGATGTAAATCTTGGAAGAAGTGTTTTTTGGGACATGAAGAACCGCCTTCCAAGGAGCATCACAACGTTAGAGTGGGAGAACAGCTTTGTCTCTGTTTACAGCAAGGACAACCCTAATCTGCTGTTTAGCATGTGTGGGTTTGAGGTTCGTATACTACCAAAAATACGGATGACTCAAGAAGCGTTTAGTAACACCAAAGATGGAGTCTGGAACTTGCAGAATGAACAGACAAAAGAAAGGACAGCTATTGCCTTTCTAAGAGTTGATGATGAGCATATGAAAGTGTTTGAGAACCGTGTCAGGCAAATCCTTATGTCCTCAGGGTCAACTACATTCACTAAGATTGTTAACAAGTGGAATACTGCTCTTATTGGTCTTATGACATATTTCCGTGAAGCAACTGTTCATACCCAGGAGCTCTTGGATTTACTTGTCAAATGTGAAAACAAGATTCAGACTCGCATAAAGATTGGACTGAACTCAAAAATGCCTAGCAGGTTTCCGCCTGTTATCTTCTATACACCCAAGGAAATTGGAGGTCTGGGAATGTTATCGATGGGTCACATTCTGATACCACAGAGTGATCTCAGGTACAGCAAACAGACAGATGTTGGTGTGACACATTTTCGGAGTGGTATGAGCCATGAAGAGGACCAGCTTATCCCTAACTTATATCGCTACATTCAGCCCTGGGAGAGTGAGTTTATTGATTCACAGCGGGTTTGGGCTGAGTATGCTTTGAAGAGGCAGGAAGCACAATCACAGAACAGACGGTTAACACTTGAGGATCTTGAAGATTCATGGGATAGAGGTATTCCTCGTATCAACACTCTTTTCCAAAAAGACCGTCATACTTTGGCATATGATAAAGGATGGAGAGTGAGAACAGACTTTAAGCAGTACCAAGTGCTCAAACAAAATCCATTCTGGTGGACACATCAGAGACATGATGGAAAACTATGGAACCTAAACAACTATAGGACTGATGTCATCCAAGCTCTTGGTGGTGTTGAGGGTATTTTGGAACACACCTTGTTTAAAGGAACGTATTTCCCTACTTGGGAGGGTCTGTTTTGGGAGAAAGCGTCAGGTTTTGAGGAGTCCATGAAATACAAGAAGCTGACGAATGCACAACGTTCTGGTCTCAATCAGATACCCAACCGAAGATTTACCCTGTGGTGGTCACCAACCATCAATCGTGCAAATGTGTATGTTGGTTTCCAGGTTCAGCTAGATCTTACGGGCATTTTCATGCATGGGAAAATTCCGACCCTGAAGATTTCTTTAATCCAGATCTTCCGTGCGCATCTGTGGCAGAAGATCCATGAAAGTGTTGTTATGGATCTTTGCCAAGTTTTGGATCAAGAGCTGGATGCACTGGAGATTGAGACAGTGCAGAAAGAGACAATACATCCGAGGAAGAGTTACAAGATGAACAGCTCCTGTGCAGATATCCTCCTTTTTGCTGCACATAGGTGGCAGATGTCTAAACCGAGCTTAGTCTCTGAGTCAAAGGATGTCTTTGATCAGAAAGCTAGCAACAAGTATTGGATTGATGTGCAACTTCGATGGGGAGACTATGATTCACATGACATTGAGCGTTATACAAGGGCCAAGTTCATGGACTACACTACTGACAATATGTCGATATATCCATCTCCAACAGGTATGCTTTCAATATCTATGAATTGTTTTATCAACTATCTATTTGTCTGATTTGTTTGTAGCTAATTGTTATTTTGTTCTACAGGGGTGATGATTGGAATTGATCTAGCATATAATTTGCACTCTGCTTTTGGCAATTGGTTCCCTGGGTCAAAGCCCCTTCTTCAGCAAGCAATGAACAAGATAATGAAGGTAATATAATCATGTTAATTGTAACTACTCTATCTTTAGCTTGCATAATGATCTGTCTGTATGTTCCAGTATTTCCAATATAACTAACCTGCTGGACTGTTTTCATCTATAACAGTCAAATCCTGCTCTGTACGTGCTGAGGGAGAGAATAAGGAAGGGTCTACAGCTGTATTCTTCAGAACCCACTGAGCCGTATTTGTCTTCACAGAACTATGGAGAGATATTCAGCAATCAGATCATATGGTTTGTGGATGACACAAATGTCTATCGAGTTACCATTCACAAAACATTTGAGGGTAACTTGACCACTAAACCAATCAATGGTGCTATTTTTATTTTCAATCCAAGAACTGGTCAACTATTTCTGAAGGTATGTTCATTCTCTTCTAGCTACAGTCATAATTGTGACATTACTGTGGAGTGTTGCAACTTTGAAGGCTTAAAATGAAAATGGATTGCAATATGCAGGTCATCCACACAAGTGTATGGGCTGGACAAAAGCGTCTTGGACAACTGGCCAAGTGGAAAACAGCTGAAGAGGTTGCTGCATTAGTTCGGTCGCTTCCTGTAGAAGAGCAGCCAAAGCAAATCATTGTGACAAGGAAGGGTATGTTGGATCCTTTGGAGGTCCATCTGCTTGACTTCCCTAACATTGTGATCAAGGGCAGTGAGCTGCAGCTGCCATTCCAAGCTTGTTTGAAGATTGAGAAGTTCGGTGATCTTATTCTCAAGGCCACAGAACCCCAGATGGTTCTTTACAACATATATGATGATTGGTTGAAAAGTATCTCATCATTCACTGCTTTCTCTCGGATTGTGCTTATATTGCGTGCACTTCATGTCAATAATGAGAAGGCAAAGATGCTGCTCAAGCCTGACAAAACTATTGTTACGGAACCACATCATATTTGGCCAACCTTGACTGATGAGCAATGGCTGAAGGTTGAATGTGCACTCAGGGACCTCATCCTGTCTGATTATGCAAAGAAAAACAATGTTAATACGTCTGCGCTGACACAATCTGAAATTCGTGACATTATACTTGGTGCTGAAATAGCTCCACCATCACAGCAGAGGCAACAGATTGCTGAAATTGAGAAACAGGTAGGGCTCATCATAATAGGAACCGTGTTCAATTTTTGTTAATGACTAATTCACATCGACTCACTCCTGGTTTCACTTGATTTTGCAGTCTAGAGAGACGACTCAGCTGACCGCAGTTACTACAAGGACGACCAATGTGCATGGAGATGAGCTCATCATCACAACGACCAGTCCATACGAGCAACAAGCATTTGCATCAAAGACTGATTGGCGTGTTAGGGCTATCTCTGCCACAAACTTGTATCTTCGTGTCAATCACATTTATGTTAACTCAGATGATATAAAGGTCAGTACAATAATTCCTTTTCTTTGATAACCATTTAAGTTGCAACTAAAAGGCATTGAAGGGATACTGACTCCAATATTCTACCTACAGGAGACTGGCTACACTTACATTATGCCAAAGAATATATTAAAGAAGTTCATATGCATAGCAGATTTAAGGACACAGATTGCAGGGTTTCTGTATGGGCTGAGCCCACAGGATAATCCCCAAGTTAAAGAGATCAGATGCATAGCTATTCCTCCGCAGCACGGAACTCATCAGATGGTGACACTGCCTGCAAACCTTCCCGAGCACGAGTTCCTTAATGATTTGGAGCCACTGGGATGGATGCATACCCAACCAAATGAAGCTCCTCAGCTATCACCACAGGTTAGATTATGTTTTAGCTCTTTTAAGCTGTTGCAAAGGAACAGAAAAGTTGTAAGAGTGAATTTTGGCCTGTGAACTTAGTCATAAGACTGAACTGTTCGTTTTGTTGATTATTGCAGGATTTGACATCACATGCCAAGATCTTGGAGAACAACAAGCAATGGGACGGTGAGAAGTGCATCATTTTGACATGCAGCTTTACCCCAGGATCTTGTTCATTGACCGCGTACAAGCTGACGCCAAGCGGTTACGAGTGGGGCCGTAGCAACAAGGACACCGGAAGCAACCCACATGGATATCTCCCGACTCACTACGAGAAGGTCCAGATGCTTCTCAGCGACAGATTCCTGGGATTCTACATGGTATGGATTGATCTCTAATGCCTCTTCAAGATTAAAAACTTGAGAATTACTCCATGCCGAGAGCTTACATTTCTTCCATGTCTTCCACCAGGTGCCGGATAACACCCCTTGGAACTTCAACTTCATGGGAGTCAAGCACGACCCGCTGATGAAGTACAACATGAAGCTTGGCACGCCCCGGGACTTCTATCACGAGGACCATCGGCCGACGCATTTCCTCGAGTTCAGCAACATCGACGAGGGCGAGGTCGCAGAAGGTGATAGGGAGGACACCTTCACGTAAGCAGGCGCCACGAACGCCTATGCTACCATAGCCTTTCTGCTACGAACTTCGCGCTGTTTCGAGTAGAGATCCGTAACCTGTAACTTGACGCAACCGGTAGTAGCATATGATGCTTGTTTTGAGGAGATTGTATACCCTGATGTAGTCTGCCCTTGAAAGAACAGGGTGTTTGTAGTTTGTACAAGTGCACGCCATGATAACAGTGAAGATTTTGCTTACTCTCGATATTGTATTATGTAGATCTCGGCTAAGATATATTATTGCATCCTACTAATCATAAAGCAATGCTGGTAGTCGGCCGAGTGTTTCTTGGCAACTTGCCACTCTTTTTGTCTCCTGGTGGACAGGTGGTTTGCTTGTGCTACTACACTGCAACAACCAACGAGGCCTTTTACATCTCCACTATACAAGCATATGCCTACTGGGGGTGTAGGCGTGTAGCCCTTATATGTTACAGCTTCCCGTGTGAATGTTTTGCATGATCGTCTGTTTTTTAAAGTTCCATGCTAACAGCTACTTTCGTTGATGATTCTACTACTAGTATAGCTTCTGTTTTGACAAAATTAAAATTCTAAATGCCTTGTGTATTTGTGGCCATAGTTTTGAATCGTCCACAACACGCATTGCAAAATAAAACTGGTAATAAAAGGAAAGGAATTGCAGTATTTACTCCTGTGTTGTGCAGAAGTTTCAATCATAAGATACAAACACAATTCAATCATCCAGATATCAGCATTAAAGAATAATTTATATGACAACATGACCAATCATACCCAAACATCAGGCCAAGTATATGGATCTTCTATCCAGTGCACACAAAAAGCACCATGTATAATAATTCTTTGCCAAAAAAAGCACCATGTATAACTGCTAACTCATCATTCATCTAATTTCCTCTCTCCAAAAAGAGGAGAAACCTTCACAAATGACAATGCCTGTACATTTGAATCATGCCAAACCAAGCAGACCAAGCACCAATCCCACAAAAAAAATGCGACTCTACATTTCCTAGGGTACTAATCCATCATGCCGCTGCCAATTCTTGATCATTCTTGGGCACACAGTCCGAGCTCCCCTCTGGTGTTGACATTCCATGGGAACTCACCGTCGAGTCTGGCCTGAACAATTCATCATTTTCAAGCCTGGAAAGCATCTCTTTAGATTCACCTTTCAGCATCGATACAACTTCGAGCATTGTCGGTCTCTTTTCAGGTTCTCTGTGTGTGCAAGCCAGACCAACCAACACTACTCTTTTTAGTTCAGATTCAGAATACTTATCATTGAGTTTGGAGTCCACAATTTCATCGTATCTGCCATCTTTTGCCAAAGGGAGCACCCAGTTTCGAACCCCACACATTTTGGCAGAGCCCGACCTTTCCACTGGTCTTCTCCCACTAGATAGCTCCAACAGTATTATGCCAAAGCTGTAGACATCACAACCTATTGTAGGTTTGCCAAACATAATGTACTCAGGAGCAAGATAGCCACGTTGGTTTTCACTGATTATCTTATCATGATCCACCCCATCTGGGATGAACCTTATCAGACCAAAGTCACCAAGATGTGCCTGGAAATTTGAATCGAGTAGCACATTAGTAGCCTTGACGCTCCCATGGATTATCTGGGGTGTTGCGTGGTGGTGAAGATACCTGTGGAGAAGCTCATATGAGTGAGTTTCTTCTGTGACAGCTTACCAGAAGGAGAGAAACTGAGAAGCAGAGATTATGTATGCTGTGCAGTAATGAACAAAGATGAGGTTTCTTTTACTAACGCTAGAGCTCGAGCAGCACCAATTGCAATAAATGTTCTCCTCCGCCAGTCAAGAAGGCACTCTGTAGAATGTGTTCCGTGCAGATGTGCATAAAGACTTGAATTTGGCATGAAGTCATACACCAGAACGCGTTCAGGTCCATCAGCACAATATCCACGGAAACTCAAGAGGTTTTTGTGCCTCACTCTTCCCAGAATTTCAACATCTGAAGCAAATTCTGTTTCTGTCCCATTCTTTGCGCACTTCAACTTCTTAACAGCAATCTGTATAAAAAAACATTAGCAATTGAAATAATCAAGAAACCTTGTTATAGAAGAAGAATCTTCAGACGGGCAAACTGCTACAAAATTGTGGTAGGTTACGGTTAACAGTCCTTTTAAAAGACATACAACTTAGTTGCAGCCATGACAGGGAATATGTTGAGCCTTCTTTTATTGTACAAGATACAGATCTGCAAACCTGTAGCCAGTCCATCTTCCAAATTTTGTCTAAGTTGACCTGCCTATGACAACATATCCTACCTACTTAATGATAATGCAATCAAAGATCAATGCTCTGCAACCGAATAAAAAATTCTAGCTGATAGTTGTTTGGTTACTTAGTGAGACAGCTATCAATAAGATTTTCCAACGCTGCAAATTAATGATGATTCCTGGCTGGGCCAACTACAAAGCAAGATATCTAAAGGAGACAGTTGAAATTCTATTTCTTGACATGACATGTAGATCAAATCGACTGAGATGTCAAGAATAGAAACCTGAGAACCATCCCAAACTTGTCCCCAATAGACACTTCCGAATGGTCCTTCTCCAATCTTGTTATCATAGTTGAAGCTATTTGTAGCTGACCGAAGCTCCCGCAATGAAAACACCCACCTCAACGATCCGCTCCCCTCATCACTCCTGTTAAATCGAAGCCATGAAACAGAATATGAGATACCAGTCTACCACGTTTTAGCACCACGGTTAGGTAAAGTAACAATTCAAACTATTTCTTTCCCTTCAACTGATATGGTACCCACTCGAATTGACTGACACATCCTGATGATGCATCAAAAAGAAAACTACCATGCCAAATTACCATAGCATTTAATCCTACAGTATTATCGGAGCATATTTCATTTTCATTCACTTTGTAAAATCGATTATTCACACAAAAGGATTCGAAAACAGCATATATGAGAGCTACAAAAGGAATTCCATACTGAACATCACACATTTCGACAGTCTAAAACAGTAGACTGTCTCTGTTTCCCCAAAAATTCCACTAGTTACACTGCTATAAAACCACTACCTTTACAGAATTGTTCCAAAACTAAACCAAGATTTATCGTTTTTCCTATCAAATTCAGTACCAAACAGACAACTTCCAGTACCCAATCACTGGAGCAACCAGACTGCACATCATCTCTAGCCTCTAGGTTTCATCCCGTCTCATCTAACCAAACTAAACCAAACCCACCCAGGATAAGAATCGATAGACCAGCGCACAAAATCGGGGAGAATTCCCAAATCCTCCACCACGAATCACGCCAAACCCCCCGCGCTCCCACAACCACGAACCCAACAAGCCCCAAGAACACAAGAACAAGCAGTCAAGAGTAAAAAACAAAAAGAAAGAAGAAGAAATCCTTACAAATCCTCCCCGGAGCCTTTCCTCCCGCAGCAGAGCACCCTGTGCGCGAACCGCGACAGCTTCGGGTGCATCTCCGCCGCCGCTCCCCTCCCCAAATCCCGCAGACGCGCAGCGCCTGAAACGAAGAAGAAGAGAAGGAATCTTTGGAAGGAGGAGGTGGTGGTGGTGGAGCAGGAGAGGGAGGTGGACTCGCTGGACTTCCTGAGGAGGAGGAAGAGACGAGACGTCACAGCGGAGAACAGCCTCGCAGCTTGCGCTTTCGGTGACGCCTTTTTTCTCTTCTTCTTCGATTCGACTTGTTCTTCTTCTTTTTTTCCTTTTCTTTTCTTTCTAAAAAATTCTCTCGTTCGTCTTGGTGCGGTTGGCAGCCACGCCCAACGCGTGCGTGCGGCGTGGCGTGCAGTGCAAACCGTGTTTTTGTTGTCTCGGGGGGGCTACCTCACCTAACCCGTTGATTTGTTTGCCATCGCATCGCTGGACCGTCCGATGCGGATTAGGTGTTTTTTTTCCCTCTGTTATTATTACATACATGGAAGATGTACTAAACGCACCCCGTACTACATTCTTTACACGGGCTCCTTTAAAGGAACAATAGGATTCTCCAGCGACGGAGCCATCGCCCGGCTAGGGCTCGCCGACGACAACTCCATTAAATTTTAATATTTTTTAAAGTGAATTACGTTTTGTGCCATATTTTATTACCTAAGTTTCACTTTGGACCATCCTTAACCATATATTTTCACTTTGGACTGGATAAATTTACCATTGTTACAATTTAGACCACCACGAATGATTTTTTTCAGCAAAATCAACGACCTTAAACACATAAACACATCAGCAGAGTATACGGCCCAACTCCTCTATATATGATTCATATGTTTGCTGAAAGGGAAGTTAGACATGACGAGAAAAAGTTGTTCATGGTAGTCCAAATCGTAACAATGGTAAATTTACCTATTCCCTAAAAAAATAAAAAATTTACCTAGTCTAAATTCAAAAGATAGGCTTAAGAGTGGTCCAAATTGAAACTTGGATAATAAAAGGTGGACCAAAGTGTAATTTACTCTATTTTTTAATAAAGCTTGTTTGGGCTAAAATATTTTCTAACTCCACAACTGAAATGGAAAAAAAACGCATGATTAAAATGTAATATCATACAATGTAAAACTGTACATGAAAAAGAACTGCAGGAATTTTCATAACATGTGTTTGGGTGTTCCTAAAAAAAAGGTTCCCTAAAAAAAACATGTGTTTGGGTGTATCGGGGAAAAACATATGAATTTTAAAATTACATATTGATTTAGTTGAGAGATAATGGAGAGAGAAAGGTTGAAGATGTCTTGGAAATCTTAAAGGAATTAATTTGAAACAATGAGATTGGACCTCATGCTGAAATTCCTCTAAAACGTGATGCAAATTTTTCCTATCCTTTGAGATCCCTTTGAAGCAAGCCTACAATCCAAATGATGAATTAGTCCTTTGGATTTGATTCCTCCGGAAATCCTTTAATCTAAGTAAGCCCTTAAATAAAGATGGAGACCACATGTAAATCTCTAGTCTCACTAAGGCTGTGTTAAGTTCTTACTGTTGGAGTGTTGAGAGCTAATCCCTCAAGCACGTAAAATGGAGTAATTTATTAGCGCATAATTAATTAATTATTAGAAACAAAGGCGCGGCATTGCCGCGCCCAGCTGAAATTCAGCAAGCTAATTTGTCCAAACTAACAGTAATAACTATTACAAATTAAGAAGGATCCATTATATGCCCTTCCAAAGATCTCCATGCGGCATATGCACCGTACGTCCATAGCAACTTGTGATTTTGCTAGGAACCAGCACTATTCACTTTCCTTGTGTAAATTGATTAAGTCCAGGAATAACGTATTTACAAATACTATCACAACCTGACAGACAAGATGAAGTACTAAGACTGCATATTTATCTTTCGTAAACATTGTGAATTACTAATATAACAAACTCATTTGCCAATCAATCACCTCTTCTGATTTCTGAATGTATACTCAATTTATTGCCAAACATGGATTTGTTGTAGAATCTTTTCATTGTATTCAGGGACAGATATAAGGAACAGTTTTTAGAGGAACCTTCAACACAACAATTCAAAGCCAAACCACACAATATTTTAGGACCTGTAAACTGGGGCCTGCCTACCCAATCAGGGAGCAAAACCGTAGCTCAGCAATCACCATGAAGTAGTTGGCAACCTCTGATTGGCCTGATCTTTGCTTACCTATCTCTCTTGTTGACCCAGCTATACCTGTTCTGTTCTTCCTGTTGACAGTTTACTTACTACGGCTGAACTACGTTACCCCGATACGTTGATACGGATACGGATACGTGATACGGCGATACCGGGATACACCATCTTCCCAAAAATATGGATACGGGGATACGCGAATATATATATATATATATAATAATTAAAAAATACAAAAAAAAATTGAGTGTGGGATATGGACTGAAAAAATAGGAAGCAAACAGCATCAAACCACCAATGCACCAATCATCATATATATGATATCTCAGTACGACAGATTCACAGGCTCACAGCATCTCACCAAGTCACCATTTATTGAAGAGGCATGCATAAATAAGTGCAAGACTACACAGTAGATGAAATCATGAAAATAACATAGTTCTTCAAATAGATGGTAGACATTAGATAACATTGTTCACATAGTAGATGATGCAGGATTTACCTCAAGTCCTCAACGTCGTCTTCGTCGGAGGTGATGCAGGAATGATCAGAGGCAGCGGCGTGATGCAGGATTGATCAGAGGCAGCGGCGCGACGCCTCGTGGAGGAGTCTGGAGCTACTGGAGGAGAGTGCAGAGGAGGGGGCACGGAGAAGGCTGTAGGCGGCGGCGCGGCGCGGTGCCGGTCGCTGGCGGTGGGCCGGCGACGAGGCGGCGCAGCGACGCAACAACGGCGTGGTCAGGGCGGCCGGGCGGCGCTGCGATGGGGATTGGTTTTTGCGAGCGGCGGCGCGTGTGGAGGGGGAGAACGGGAGATGCGTTTTGTTCTGTGTGGTTTCGGGCTCCCCCGTATCAGTTACGTATCCCGTCGTATTGGAGGAGTATCGGTATTTTTTTAATTATCTGAAAAAGAGAAAAATGAGGGATACGTATGGGATACGTATCCGGCCGTATCCCGCACGTATCCGTATCCGGACGCGTATCAGATACTGATACGAGGGTCAGCTGCCGTATCGGGGTAACGTAGCGGCTGATGTTGCTGTGCTCTAGAACTCTTTGGCCACGACAAGTCTTGGAGACCTGGAGTTGTGGCCATTGTTTCCACAACATGAGCACCTATTATTGACAGTGGCGGACGCAGGATTAAAATAAAAATGGAACGAAGATGCTCGTCTCAATAAGAACAACTTAACCCAAAAAATACCATATTTATATTGTAATCGTATAAACATATAGTATAATCAATAAATTAAGGCAAACAAAAAAACAAAAATGATATTAAAATAAAGTAATAATTTTTGCGCCATACATAATTCATCATATATAAAAAGATAGATATTAAAATCGTAAACGCGTGATAAAGTCAGTGGCATATAATGGATTCTCTCAAAAAGATACTAGTAAACATATCAATTTGCAAATATGAGTCAATTCATAAAGAATGGTTAATAGATATCTTTTAAAAAATAAATATATGAGAAGATATCGCATACCCAGAATAAGATGATTATTATTTTGCTTAGAAGGGAAAGAGAGAGAAAAACATTAGGCACCTAACTATAGTAGGGGACGGGGGTGAGCAGTGCCGAGGAATTGACTCAGGAAAGCATCACATACGCAGGATTAAAATTGGACACTTGGGCTGCTTATTTATGGGCCAATTGTGAATTGGATGTGGTGGTAGGCGGCCCAAGAAGGATATGGAGGGTTGGGGCGGCACGGGCCATAGCTGGGCCGGCTGCCCAACCCCGCCTAATGGGTGGTACCACCCCTGCCTATTGATGATGGAAGATGGAACCAATGACGCAATAAACAAAGATGGACATCTTCTCCGTGTCCCTGCGGCTAGATAATTACTCCCCCATCCTAAAAAACTCAACCTAGCAGGGGATGTTATTCCTTTCTAAATTGAGTTTTTTTTTACAATGAGAGTAGTAAACTGGTGTGTGCGAGGTGTTATAGGCTCGTAGCTATAAATGGACATCTTGGCATCACCTCCCTATCGCCGCTAATCGCGTAACTTGCATGGAATTCGCTATAAGAGATATGGCCTTTTTTTAATTAAAAAATAAACATGTGTTTAGAACCAACAGAATCAGTACAGGTTTGTGTTAAACTGAAAATGGGATAGTATACATGAACGTATTAAGGAAATACCATCAAGCTGCTAATTAAGGATAAAAAGGAAAGAGCACATGATCAAGCGAGTTCAACAGGAAACAACAAACCTTTACTTCCATAGTTTCACTACCATCTTAAACACTGCCCTGATATTCTCTGTCCTCAATGCGACTGTACCAGATAACAACACAACTCTTGTTAGTATTTGTGGAGACCCCATATTGCAGAATTTCAATCACTTGGTACTACCGGCCACTACTCCCAGCCAAGGCTCCGAGCATCACTACTCGCCAAGAGCTTCAGCCACCTGCCCAGCACTGCGCAGCCCAGATATCATCATCAAGTAGTTGACCATGTCTGGCTGTCCGGGGCAACACCATTCGCCACCATCCAATGCACAACCTCATTGGCAGAGTCAAACAATCACTGGAGAAGTACAACCCGACGAGCATCGTGCACGCCAAGTCGGGCGAAACGCCATCCGCGGCCGTAGCGTCCAGCACGGCGAGCAGTGCGCCCGGGCGAGAAGCGTAAGAGAGCGCCGCGGTGCCCGTGATGAAGCAGGCGTGCGGCGCTGGCGGAGGCCTATTTCGTCGAGCAGGTGGAAGGCGCAGTCCGCGCTCGCGCCGTTCCCCGACTTGTTGTCATAGGGGTTCGGTGACCGCAGTGCGGCTGTGTCAGAGTAGGCGACGTAGGCCGGAAGGACAGCTCCTTGGCGAGGTCGACGAATAGGAGGAACCGGTGGTCTTGGCGGGGGCCGGAGGAGGAGGCGATGGAAGGGGGAGCGGATGGGTGGTGCGGAAGGAGGATGCGGCGGCGGCGACATCGGAGAGCGGTGGCTGGTTGCAGCCTTGCAGGATGCAACTCACGGCGGAGCGCACTACGTTTGGTCTGCGGGCAACAGCCGAATGGCGGGAGAAGCTGAGGAGCAGCGCTGGCGGCGAAGCGAGAGGAGTCCCGAAGAATAGAAGATGTC